CTTGTGCTTCCAATAGCCCGGAGCCTGGTGTGTGCCCATCCACCCCCCCCCACCAATATATCCGGAACACATCAATGTGGAGGTACGTTGTTGGTTTGTATGGCATGTGGTGGTGGTGGTATGCGGTGGTGGTGGTGGTGGTGGTGGTATGTGGTGGTGGTGGTGGTGGGTACCTTGAGGGGAGCGTGGGCGTGGTGGCACGCCTGGCAAAGGTTGACGCACGAGAGGCACTGCTCGCAACGGAAAAGCACACGCACGATGCGTCCCCCGCAACCAGCGCACTCCACCGGAAACTCTGCACCGTCATCATCACGCCATCCACATAAAGATATAATATATAAATATATATATGTGCATGTATGTCATGCCACGTAATGTAGGTGCTCGGTCGAGAAGAAACAACTCGGTCGAGAAGGGGGTTGCTGATGCGTGATCCGCTACTCCCCACCCAATACCGGGAACAACCAAACCCAACCAACCAACCACAAGACGTGTACCTGCGGTGCGGTAGAAGGCCTCGATGAGTTCGTAGGAGCGCAGGATGGCCTTGAGCACGCCCTTCAGGCGGCGCAGGGTGACGGAGTGGGTGGCCAGGTCGATCCACACGTCGTTGGCGAGCCGCTGGTTGGCCTCGTCGCCCACAAAGCCCTCCACGTCCAGCTGCCCGCACAGCCACTTGGCGGCCTCCGCGCCCGACCCTGCCGACGATGGCGTGTCCGATGGCGGCGAGGAAGAGGAGGGCGACTGGCGAAGCAGCTGCAGCACGCCCTCGGCGAAGATACGGATGGCCGGTAGAGGCAGGTCCCGATTGCGCATCCGGCAGATCTCTGTTATATCATCATCATCATCATCATCATCATCATCATCATCATCATCATCATCATCATCATCATCATGCCATGCCATGCCATGCCATGCCATGCCATGACCCACCCACCCACACCCACACTCAGCACCATAGTCCCCACCGGTGCTACCGCCCCGCCGCCGCCGCCGCCGCCAGCCATGAGGAAGGGGACGAGGAGGAAGAGGTGCACGTGCCCTTGACGCGATCGAGGGCGAGCGAGGCGGCGTGGTAGAGGTCCATCATCGCGAAGAGGTGGTCGGCGAACACCAGATGCGCTGGCGTGGCACCACAAAACAGGGGACCCACGCGTAGAGTTTTTTAAAATATATAATCATGAAATAGTGAGCGTGAGCGTGAGCGTGAGCGTGCGCTCATCCTGGTCAGAGGGCGTACGGTAGGCGAGGAGGGCGTGCTGGAGGCACTGCATGGCGAACGCCTTGTGTTCGAGGGACGGGCAGCCGACGACGGCGAGCAGGCGGCAGAGTTCGGCGTGCATGGTCTTCTCGTAGTAGGCCGCCGGCAGCCCTAGACGGCGAGAGCGAGAGCGAGGAGCGTGAGGCGCGTGGCCACGGGGGGGAGGAGGGATGGGGGCCAGGGACGCGTTGGGGGGGAGGTGCTACCGGCCAGGAAGGAGCGGCGGAGGAGGTGCAGCACCGACGAGTGGAGGAGCGTGGAGGAGCGGGAGGTCTTGACCAGACCCACCAGCCGAGGCAGCACGTCGAGCGCCACCAGCTGCTCGAGGGCCGCCCGGCACTCCCCCTGCGGCGCTGTACGCAATCGACACACGCCACACGCATGTGCGTACAATGAACAACCGGTTCACGTCACCGCGTGATGTGTGCGTGCGGTAGGCCTGCGGAAGAGGGAGCAGCGTACTGAGCTGCATGAGGGCGAGAAATATGTTGACGATGGTGAGGCGCAGATCGGGCGGCGTGACGGGCGCAAAGATGACAGCGCTGAGCCGACCAATGGCCTGCATTTCGATCACCAGCGAGCGCCAGCGTTCTGGGTGGGTCATATGGCAAGAGAGAGAGAGAGAAAGAGCGAGAGAGAGAGGAAGCAACCACGACCACGCCACCCAGCGGGGAGGGAGGAGGGGGGGGTA